TTACAGTCTAAACCACAATCTAAAACCATCCTTTCTTTTCCTTGTATACTTTTCCCATTATGCAAAAAAATATTTCGAAATAAACGATTAGAAATTATTGAAAATATTTTACTGAAGAATTATTAAAATAATATTATAATACATTAATTTTACAATCATATCAATTATCGTTATCAATTAATCGATTATTTTCGAGGAATTAATCCTAATATCTCAATGAAATGAAATAATGAAATAATTTGCCTTTTTTTTTTCTTTTTTCTTTAGTGCTGATAGTAGTTATAATATAACAATTAGTACAAAGGCAACTTTACGATATGATGGTCAAGTAACCTGGGAACCACCGGCTATTTTTAAAACATTATGTCAAATTGATGTCCGATGGTTAGTTAATTCATTCTTTCTTTTTTTTTTTTTATTTTTTCTAAAATTATTACACACATTTAATATACGTTCAAAAGTTGTTAAAATATATGCTTAAAAGTTTTAATTAAACTGTATAAATTTACGTAGAATTCGGTTTAAAATCAAAAATTAAAAAATCTAAAAAGGAAACCTAGAATTCGATTGAAATCCAGGATTAAAAAATCTAGAAAAGTAATCTAGTTTACTGAAGAATTATTAAAATAATATTATAATACATTAAATCTAAATCCGGTAATCTAAATCCAGGATTAAAAAATCTAGAAAGGTAATCTAGAATTCGGTAAAAATTTAATAAGCAAAAAAAAAATTCTCAAATTCTACAATTTAATTATGATTACTACTACTTTTTCATCTCTTGATTTTATAATATTTATAGGTTTCCATTTGATGAACAACAATGTTTTTTTAAGGTAAAATTTTTATTTTTTGCTAATTTAATTAATAAAATTTTATGAAAATTACTGAAAAAAAAGAGAGAAAAGAATGAAAAATAATTGAATATTTTTGATAAAATATTTAGTTTGGTTCATGGACATACTCTGAGAATTTATTAAATTTGGAACTTTTGGATGGTGAAGAACGCTATGAAATGGAAATGAATGAAAATGGTGAATTGGATAATATTACAATTATTGAAAAAGGAATTGGTAATATTTGATGGTAATAATTAATTAAAAGAAAAAAATTATTTTTCAGTTTTTCAGTTTTTTTGCATTGTTATTTTTATTTTTATTTTTATTTTGCTATAATTAATTATCATGACAATGTTGATTAATAATTATCATCCTATGATTATTTATTGTTATTTATTTTGAAATTTTGAACGAATTATAATGATAATAATGATGATAACAATAATGATTATTTCATATTGACGAATCTTATTCATTAATTAGATCTTTCCGATTACTATCCATCAGTGGAATGGGATATAATGTCAAGAGTTGCAAAACGACGTAAGAAAAATTATCCAACATGTTGCGCAGATGAAAAATACATTGATATTATGGTCATTTTTTTAATTAATTAATTAATTAATTAATTTTTTTTATGAATTATTAATTGAGGGATTATAATTACTCGTTGTTTATTTTTTTCTTTTTTTACTTTTGCGATATTTTACATTGTAGATTCATTTATATGAAATCATTGAATTAATTATCATCCGTGATGATTTAAGAGGAAATTCGGAAATTTGAGGAAGTTTAAGAAAACTCAATTTTGGCAAAAGAAAAAATTTAGCATTTAAAAAAATTCAGACTAAAATTATGATTACCTGATGCGAACTTATCATAATCCATGATGAAAATTTAAGAAATTTAGGCTTAAATCATGATTACATATTGTAAGCTTATCGTAATTCATAATGATAATTAATTCAGGTTACTTTTTTCTCAATTTCAGTTTTACTTGGAATTACGTCGTAAACCGTTATTTTATACAGTAAATTTGGTATTTCCATGTATTGGTATATCATTTCTAACAATTGTCGCCTTTTATTTACCATCACGAAGTGGTGAAAAAATTACATTATGCATTTTAACATTGGTCGCATTAACTGTTTTCTATCTGTTATTGGTTCGTTTTTTTTTTTTTTA